ACACAGTTTAAATGAAACACAAGACACACTACAATGTTTCATGTATATGGAGTTCAAGAAAAAGCAAAAAATAATATAAATAATCCTAGAAGATAAAAGGTAACCATTTCTCCAGTAATAGGTGCTTTTCAAAGATGATACTATGAGATTTCATCTCCTTTTTGAAAACATATTTGTATTCACTCTGTAAAGGTTACTATTTTGCTTAGTTTTAGTGTTTATGTTTGCATGCACATGTGAATGAGTTCGTGGATGGTAGGGATCAAACGGGTATAATTCCTTATTGCCACAGGGACCTTCACTGCAATTGAGGGCCTGTAGATTAAGCTTGACTGGGTAGCCAGGAATACTACTTTCTCTTCCTCCCAAGCACTGGGATTAGAAGCAAATGCCACAACATCCAGTTTTCATATGGGTCCTGGTGTCAATTTAGGTTTTGGCGCATTCAAAGTAAGGGAACACTTTAGCAACTGATCTACCACCTTTGTCCAGGGTTATACCATTGTGATATATCCTGGTATGGCAAATTACCAGAATTAGGAAGGTTATGAGAGTTAAATACTTTTCTTTGAATATTTTGCAATTAACAACTTCTAATTACTTGAAAATGACTTTGTTTTTTAAATATTTTGTGTGTCTGAGTGTATTGTCTATGCAACATATATATGCAGTGCACCCAGATGCCAGCAGAAGGGATCATATCCCCTAGGTCTGGAGTTATGGACTTGAGAGCTGTCATCTGTGTACTGTGAATTGAATGAATGTTTCCTGGAAGAGAATCCGGTGAGATTAACTGCTGAGCCACTGACGCAGCCCATTTAAATACAGTGTCAGATTTAAATATTAATTTAATGTTAAATTTTATTTGAGCTCCTTCTTAGTTTAATAATTTTGGAGAGTCTACTTAAATTCTACGAGAACTTAAGGGGTTTTTGTTCATTTAAACAAGTTTTTTCTGTGAAGAAAAAGTGAGAATTTATGTTTGCTTATAGGACATTGTATTTCTGGAAGTGAATGATCATAGAATAGTACTAGAGATAACAGGGTACTAATGAATGAGAGAAATAATGTAAAAGCAGGCATGGTGGCACATGCTTTGAATCCCAGCACTTGGGAGGCAGGAAGATCTCTATGAGCTCGAGATCAGACAGGTATACAAAACGGGTGTCAGGTCAGCTTGGACTGTTACACAAAGAAGTCCTGTCGCAAAAAAAAACACCCCCATAAAGTAAAACCTCAGTTCAAATTGCATTTTGAATCAAACAGCATGGCATAGGCTCTTCTAAACCATATTTCAGTAAAAACATCCAAAGAACCTTCAATTTTTCACTTAAACACAGTTAAGAATAGCATGGTGGGGCTGGAGAGATAGGTCAGCACACTGGCTACTGTTCAAAGGACCTGGGTTGATTCCCAGCATCTGCAGAGCAGCTCATAACCGTTTGTACCTCCAGTCCCAGGGGATTCAATGCACTCTTCTGACCACCGTGGTCATGAGGCACATGCATTGTGCACACACATAAACGCAGGCAAAACACCCACAGACATAAAATAAAAATAAAGGCAATATTAATAAAAATAGTATAATGTGTGTTTGCCACCAAACCTAACAATTTGTGTCCAATGCCTGGGAACTGTGTGGTTGAAAAATAGAATCAACTCCTGTAAGTTGTCATCTGAGCTCTACACTGTGGTACCACCCTGCCCACCGCTCCGGTCCCTGCAACAAGGCGATCCCTAAATAATCAAGAAACAGTTGAGAGAGAAAAAAAAATGTTTGAAGATGCAACCAAGTCGCTGCCATTTTGTAATGCCAGTGCCACCTCTGTCTCTCCAAGCTCCAGCCTAAGGAAGAAAAGGGTAAGTACGAAAGTGCCCATACCATGACTCCTACAAGGCTGACTGCCCACAAATCTCCAGCTGGTAAAGCACCAGGGAAAATCTAGCAACAAAAACCGCTCAGGGATGCTGGGGATGCTCTCTCAGCCAGGACTCTTGGGGGAGGGCCTAGGCCCTGCCCTGGATGAAATGACAGTTACTGGAGATCCACCATGGAGGGCATCACCCTCCCTCAGGGTCAAGGGTCAGAGTGGAGATTGACTCGGGGGCTGGAGGACCTGGTGGGGAGGGCAGGGGAGGAGGGGAGGAAGAGGGAGCTGGGATTGACATGTGGAACAAGCTTGTTTCTAACTTAAATAAAAAAATTAAAAAACATAGAACGATTAATAAAATAGGCTACAATACTATATTTGGATTAATAAAAAATCTAGCACATTAAAAAAAAAGAAAGAAAAAACCTGCTCGCAAGAGCTCGCCCTCTACTGGGACCTTGAAGAAACCCCATCATTACAGGCCTGCTGGTACGGCGCTCAGTGAAATCAGACACTATCACAAGTCCACTGAACTTCTCATTCACAAACTCCCCTTCCAACTTCTGGTGTGATACTTCAACAGATCTGCGCTTCCAGAGTGCAGCTATTGGTGCTTTGCAGGAGGCAAGTGAGGCCTGTCTGGTTGGCCTTTTTGAAGATTGCAACCTGTGGGCTATTCATGACAAATGTGTAACAACTATCCCAAAAGATACCCAGCTAAAATGGTGCAGACATGGAGAACGTGCGTAAGAGTCCACTGTGGAGCCTGGCAGTGGTGGTGCATGCCTTTAGTTCCAGCACTAGGGAGGCACGGGCAGGAGGATCTCTGTGAGTTCCAGGCCAGCCTGGCCTACAGAGCGAGTTCCAAGACAGCCTCCAAAGCAATATAGAGAAACCCTGTCTCAAAAAACCAAAACAAACAAGAGTACACTTTTGTGAAGGGAAACATTGCATTTGCAAAAATATTTTCCTCTTCTTCCTGTTATTAGTAGTTCTGTATATATATTCATTCCCCCCATGGGGTCAAAAGGTACCTCAGATAGGATTGCACGGAGACAGAAATCAGGTATTGACAGTTTTTGCCATATTCATTTGTGTTAATTTTTAATATAAATGAAAGATGCAAGGGAATTAATGTAAGGAAAATGTTTCAGTAGACACATTCCAACAGTTCAGCTTTATAACAATTATAAACAGACCTGTTAAAATTTTCTAGATAATGCCAGCATTTGGAGTTTTAAAACATCAGTAAATTTCTTGAGGGCAACCAAATGGTATTGCAGCATTTCCTCCATTCACTATACTTTTGTGAGTCGTCCTATATGCAAGTATATGTTTTTCACACACATACACGCACACACACACACACCTTATATATACTTGTTTTCTTGTGAACTTACTGAATTGAAATAGTTTTCCTCACTGTCTCACAGAAGTTGCAACTCTAGTGTATATGTCTTTTCTACATACTAACAGGACCAAAATGTGCAAAAATAAAAACCCTGTAAGATTTCTAAGAACTATTGTACTAGCTTTGCAAATTTTTATATCATTCATTATTTAGCTGTGTGTGTGGTACAGACATCCATGCACATGTGGACAGCAAAGGACACCAGATGTCTTCCTCTGCACCTCTCCACTTTATTCCCTTGACACGAGCTCTCTCACTAAACCCGAAGCTTGCTGCAGCTGGCTAACAAGTTCCAGGGAATCTGCCTCCCAAAGCTAGGTTCAACTCCACATGCTGTGGTTACAGTCACATGCATCGTTGCCCAGCTGCGTGCTGGAGTTTTGAATTCCAGATTTGTTTTGTGTGTGTGTGCGCGAGCATGTGGTGTGGTGTGTGTGTGTGTGTGTGTGTGTGTGTGTGTGTGTGTGTGTGTGTGTGTGTGTTAGGTGGATAGATACACTGTGTGTTATGTATCTGTTCACATCTATTTCTTATCTACAGACTGAAAAGTAATAGTTAAATTGAGAAAATGCATGGCACAAGCCTGTTACTCACTCCTTCATGTGTAGAAGCAGGAGAATACTGAATTCAATGCTAGATAGTGTGAACTATATACTGAGATCAAGGGAACACTGGGTATATAGCAAACCCCTGGTGCAAACAGAATAAAATTGCAGATAGGAGTATATCGATTAAAAAGGGGACTAGGAGATGGTAAGAGCACTCGTATTTGCAAGCATTAAAACTGGAATTCAAGCCAGGTGTCAAGTCACGCACCTGTAATCCCAGCACTTGAGAGGCAGAGGCAGGCAGATCTCAAGTGAGTTTGAGACCAGCCTCATCTACACAGGGAGTCATAGGACAGCTAGAGCTACACAGGCAAACCCTGTCTTGAAAAAAACATGTGAGGGACTTTAATGGTCCCTTGTGGAGGGCCTCACTATCTTTGGAGAGTGGGTGGGGCTGGGTTGGGGGGTAGGCAGGGAGCATGGGAGGGTGAGGTGATGGGGGATTCATATGTAAATAAGAGTGCTTCTAAAAGAAAAAAATAAAGAAAAATACCACAGGATTATCTTCTAAAAGTCCTCCTACTAAAAGAATTCTTCAAATTGTTTTACATTAAATTGTTTTATAAAATACAAGTCATCTGTTATTGCAACTCTTATAGTTTCAACATAAAGGAATTATTAAAATTTGGCTAGAAGCTTAGAAAAAGGTTAACCCAGGAGGACTTTTAGAATCACATCATTTGGGGGAGGGCCTTGGCCCTGTTTCTTGTTTATGGGTTGCAATAGTATCCCTCTATAGGGAAACACTAGCTCCATTGTTAGAGGTCCCATAGACAGCTCTGGCTTCCTAACTGGCACCCACATTCAGAGGCCTTGGTTCGGTCCAATCTGGTTCCCAGTATTTTTCAACCATGACATTTCAAAATCATTGAAATGGGTATTAAACAATTTAGTAATTTAATCTAACTTCCTTCCAGTTTTAATGTGCTTAAATAATTCGGTATTATTAATGTGGGTTCAAAAAATGTGAATAAAACAAAGTTATATAATTCTTTATCTTATTAGGAACAAATCTGTTTTATCCTTTTTTCCTTTTTTTTGGAAAAAAACCAAAGAAGTGTATGGTGTGTGCATGACCAAGGATCGGCAGAAAAAAAAACAAAACTATGGTTTATTTAATTTTACTTTACTTTAGAGCAAAAACATTTCTTATAAATTTACAACAAAAACTTTAATATTCAGAATTATGGAATAATTTTTAAAAGTCCAACAATTTTTTGGAACAGAAATAATTTCTTACAAAACTACTAATTTTTCACCAAATTTTCAGGCAATTCCTTAGTCGTGAGAGAACAAAGGAAGCCTATTATACTTGTATAATCATATAAGGGCTATCAAGGAGTAACAAAACCAGGTAATAGGAAAGGGGAAAAAAGAAAATACTCTTATTATAAAACACTGCAAACAAAAGGCAAACAAAAACCTACTACTCAAGCTAATTCTTTAAATTCCCATATACTGAAGTGGTATTCACTGTCAGGTGGTGCCCCCAGGACATAGCTAAGGAAGTCTAGCACTATGATTCCTCTCAGTTTTGCTCTTCCTCAGAGGTACTAGAAGAGTCACTGATATCTGCTCCTCCAATTTCAAATCTAATACCTCTCCAATTGCGTTGGTAATTTGTGTGTGTCAGGTGACTCATGAGGAACCAAAGCATGTGGTTGTCAAACAGGGAAGTGTGGTGCAAGCTAAAATTATCTCGTTTCATCTTATTAATTTTAATCACATTCTTTAACCCAGTAAGATTCGTGGAAGATTCAGCTGTGGGTGCCCAGATCTTGACCTCATGGTCTAGGCCACTGGATGCAAGCACAGGTAGGTAAGGATGGGGATCAATACAGTTTATGGTTCCTCCTTCATCTGCCTCTAAGAATTGAACAATCTGGCAGGATGATTTTTCCCAAAAGAAGATGTGCCCACAATCGCTACCACTCATCACAAATTCACTTCTGGGACCATAGAAATTTACACCTTTCACTGTGGCATTATTTCTGTGCCCTTTATATCTCTTAGCATACTCAGCTCCTTCACTATCAGAAGAGTTGAAAATGTAAATATCTTCATCATTGTAGCTGGCCAGGATTTCTGTGCCATCAAAACTGTACATCACAGAGGTGATGTATGCTGGATAATCATAGCCTACAAGGTGATGAGGGCAGAATTTTTTGAGTACTCCATTGTTGACATTCTCATCAATTTTCCTTTGGTCATAAATTCTCACAAACTGATCTTGCCCACCTACGGTAAACTGGTAGAAATTGGAAGGATTCACAAAGATTGAATATAATCCCACTTTCTTATCAGCATCTTTGGTTACCAACAACTTTGAAGCTGGTTGGGGCTGTCTGAGGTCAATATTGAAAACAACTCCGTCTTCACCTGAAGTTAAGAACCTAAACGGGGAGTCTGGCTCCAAAGCCAATCTATGAGATCCTCCCTTATGCTTCACTAAGCGTTTGGTCATCTGAGTGCCTGGCGCAGCAAACAGCTGTGCAATGCGTACCTGCCCATCACGGCCACACATAGCTAGGACGGCATCATTACAATTAGGAAGGAATTTAGCATGCAAGATATTATTTTTGTGGCCACTACGAAAGTTCAGTACTGGTTTCTGATGAAGCCAGTCCCACACGATCACTTTTAGGTCATCACTGCCGCTAGCCAGCAGGGTGCCACGCTCGTTAAAATGCACAGTGTTAACACATCCATCGTGGCCTTCAAAAACACGTTGTAGCAAGAAACGCTGCACAAATAGCCTTGCCCCACAGGCCTCATAAACAAAGCGGGCACTTGAACCCAGCTGCCTATCGCGAAGCGCATTAAGGACTTTCCATCGAGGTCTCGGGAGAGGAGTCGTCTCTAAGGCCAACCAGTCATCTAGCACTCTGTCTTCTTCGTTATCACATTGCTCACTGCTGTCCGCACTGGCCAGTTCGTGCCCTTCAGCCCCTTCATCCCGCTCCGCCACAGCCTCACCGGCCTGCAACTCCTGGTGGCGGAAGTGGCTTTCCACTTCCTGCTCCTCCACATCCTCAGCGGCCTCGTCGCGGTGGCGGTGCAGGCTTCCCACACCCTGCTCGTCCACGTCCACGTCCACGTCCACGACCTCACCTTCCCCCATGTCTTGCTGAGCGAACACGCTTTCCACACTGCCGATGGAATTGTCCGAGACCTCCAAAGCAGGGCTGCTGGTCTTCTCGCCAACCTCGTGAGCGTCGTCGACGGGAACGTCGTGCCCGTCTTCGTCCCCGTCGTCACCACCCCGATAACGGTCACCGGACTCGTCGAGGTTAGTGCCGTGAGGGCGGGAAACACTGCTAGCCCCCGTGCCAGCAACCTCGCTGCCTGACGAGGGACTCATTTCTGGACCCTTGGGCTCGGGACCAAAAACTGCGTCTGTGGCGGCCGAGGCGCCAGATGTCTCGTCCGAGCGAGTGGGCCGGCTTTTTTCCTCAGACTTCGCGGCGGCGGAGGCGGCGTCTGAGTGGCTCTTCGGGGACGCCATTGTTACCGGGCTTGCTCTAGGGGCTGTGAGCGGGAATCACTAGCCACTAGGACTTTCGGGAAGGCCGTTGGGCTCACAGTGAACCGCAAAAGTCTCCACAGTCTGGCCGGCCCGAGAGGCGAGAGACGGCAAGTTCTCCGCGGCCTCACAGCTAAAATGGGAGGCCAACAAAATGGGGGACCAGGAAACAGCTTGCTGACGTAATGGGCGCTTCTGATGGTAGCTGGTGAGGTTCAAAAAGCTTTGAATCCTATCTCGCCTACCTGGCTACCTTAGGGCAACTTGGTTTTGTTTCTTTTTTCTTTTTGCACTGTTTCGGAGCTCTGCTTCAACAGAGATGAGGCTGCTCCACGTTATTAACGGTAGCTGGTGAAGTTCATAAAACTTCGAATCATATCTGACCTATCTTGGTATCTTCGTGAGGCTTGTTTCTGTATCTTTTTCTCTTTTTTTTTGGGGGGGGGAGGTTCGAGACAGGGTTTCTCTGTATTGTTTTGGAGGCTGTCCTGGAACTCGCTCTTGTAGACCAGGCTGGCCTCAAACTCACAGAGATTCCCCTGCCTCTGCCTCCCGAGCGCTGGGACTAAACGCATGCGCTGCCATAGTGTGGCTTGTATCTTTTTTTCTTGTTCTTACATTTTTTCCCTTTTTTTTCTTTTTTTTTCCAGTTTCAGAGCTCGGCTTCAACAGAGACGAGGGCTGTTCCACGTTATTATGGTAGTTGGTGAGGTTCAGAAAGCTTCGAATCCTATCTCACCCATCTTGGTATCTTCCTGAGGCTTGTTTTTGTATCTTTTTCTCTTTTTTTGGGTGTTTTTCGAGACAGGGTTTCTCTGTGGCTTTGGAGGCTGTCCTGGAGCTTGCTCTGTAGACCAGGCTGGACTCGAACTCACAAAGGTCTGCCTGCCTCTGCCTCCCCAGTGCTGGTACTAAAGGTGAGCGCCACCACCGTCTGGCTTTTATCTTTTTTTCATGTTTTTGTTGTTCTTGCATTTTTGTCCCTTTTTTTTCTGTCTTTTTTTTTCAGTTTCAAAGTTCTGCTTCAACAGAGATGAGGCTGCTCCACATTATTATGGAAGCTGGAGAGGTTCAGAAAGCTTTGAATCCTATCTTACCTATCTTGATATCTAAGGACAGCTTGTTTTTGTTTCTTTTTTCGTTTTTTTTCTTTTTCATTTTTTTTCAGTTTCAGAGCTCTGCTTCGACAGAGATGACGCTGTTCCACATTATTATGGTAGCTGATGAGGTTCAGAAAGCTTTGAATCGTGTCTCACCCATCTTGTTATCTTAGGGGAGGCTTGTTTTTGTTTATTGTTTTTCTTACCATTTTTTTCTTTACCCCCCGTTTTTTTTTTTTTTTGCAGTTCCAGAGCTCTGCTTCAACAGAGGTGAGGTTACTCCATGTACTGCTTACTCTTTTGCCTTTTTAAAAAAAATTCATGCCAGGTGGTGGTGGCGCACACCTTTAATCCCAGCACTGGGGAGGCAGAGGCAGGCGGATCTCTGTGAGTTCGAGGCCAGCCTGGTCTACAAAGTGAGTTCCAGGACAGCCTCCAAAGCTACAGAGAAACCCTGTCTCGAAAAACCAAAATAAATAAATAAATTAATTAATTAATTAATTCATGCCGTTCTGTGATGGCACATGCCTTTAATCCCAGCACTCGGGAGGCAGAGGCAGGCTGATCTCTGTGAGTTCGAGGCCGGGCTGGACCGACAGCCTCCAAAACAATACAGAGAAACCCTGTCTCGTAAAACCAAAAAAAATTTCATTTGTGGGGAGTGGATGGTGAGTATGTGCAGTAGCAGGACAACTTGAGGGAGTCCGGTCCTCCTGTAAGTTTACGGGCTTGATCTCATATAGTCAGCATTGGATGAAGCAACTTTACCAGCTGTACATTTGAGGGGACATTTGTTCAGTATGGCCATTAGAAGTAAAAGGAGCCACAGGCAATTAAGCAGTCTGTGTCAAGCATCGTGGGAGCTTTAAATTCTATTTTATTCTAAGTGTTATGAGAAACATTTAGAATATTTTGAACAGTATAATAAATTATGTTTCTTGTTGTTTTAAATGAATTTCACTAGCTGTTCCATGTAAAAATATTGCATCGTGGGAAGAAGTACTAAACTCTTGTTTTAATCCATATGAGAAAATAATACATTTACATTATAGTGTGCATGGTGCAGTTGGTAAAAAATAGATTCGGAATAAAATTTAAAGGGGAAATTCTAGCATTTGCGTAAGGCAATTGTATGGTGAATTATATATTTAGTGACATTATGGTATTAAACACCTCACGTCTGGGGCAACCTGCTCATGAATTCATGGATGTGTGACCAGAAAAATAAATCCATCAAATTCATTTTCCTCCGTCTGCTCTGATGCTTGTGCTGCTAATGGTGTCATAACAGGGAAGGATAAAATTCCAGATGAGTAATGGTAAAACTAGGCAATTTCTGAATGATGCTTAAGTATAGCGGCAAAGTTCTCAAGTATGGGAAGGTAGTAAGCAAATAACCAGAGTCAAATAATGTCCAAATTATTTTTCTAGTTGAAAATAATAGAGAGTTAATGGGGTTGGAGGTTAAAAGTATATATTCTATGGGATAATTTCAATAATAAAATATGTTAGCCTAATCCTGAAAACATCAAATAAAGGAGTAACTCATCTAACCCAATGTATTTAGCTTTCCAAAGACAGTCATTTCTGAAAGATATTGTTATACCTCTCATGTAATAGGAAAATCTAATTTTCTTTTATTCAAATAAGGCACACTTGTAAGTGAAACGACAAGCTGTAAATTGCATACTAAGATTAGTATAAATATTTTCGTAAAGTGTTACCAAAAACTTACATTTAGACATGTTTTCTATATTTTAGAAATCGATATTTGAAGTTTTCAAAGGTCAAGAAGATCAGACTGTCATTTGAAATCAAAAGAGGTAAAAAAAAATCTTAAAACAAATGTGATTGTAATCTAACTATAATATGTGAATTTTTAACTGCGGATCTTATTAAAACAGTTTAAGGTTGACAGAAAGTATTATTAATCATTGTTTTGGGTCACTGATAGTGTATACTAGTTTACAACAAATGCGTGTGCACATAACATTGAAGGAAGTAAATAGTGCAGCAGCCAGTCACCCAACCTGGATTTCCTATTGGGCCCATATGTACACTCCCGTGTTCCTTCCACCTTTTCATCTTGCTTCAGTCTTTTCTGGGTAGGGTCCAGTAACGTAGGAAATAGGGAGTAAAGAATAGGTGAGCACTGGACAGATTGTGAAAATAAGTAAGTCTTGGTGTGAGAGGAGCAAAGAATAAGTATATGCTATTGGGACAAATCAAACTCATGACTGAATATGATTTATTGCATAAGTTCTCTAACTTTTACAACTCAAGACCTCATTATATTTAAAAATTATTGAGAATCCTAAATAATATTTATGTTGATTTTGCCTAGTGATACTTCCCATTTTACAAATATAAGTTGAAAATATTTATTGCTATACTTAGGTTAAGAAGCACATTGCTTATTACCATGAACAGCATATACTGTATGGAAGATATTTAATGTTTCCTAAACAAAATACATTTACTGAGGAGATCTGCTTCTTTATCCCATTTTTTGTCTTTTAGTATCTGGTTTAATAGAAGACATTTGAATTCTCATATTTGTTTTTTCATACAATCTGTTTCTACTTAACAAGTTATGTAGTGACTAGAAATTTTGACTGTAAAATAGTGAGATTGTAGAAACAAAAAAAATAACATTTGGGGACTACCATAAAAATGATTTTGGCACTGAGATCCACTAAAACAGTTTAGAGATTTCCACTACAATGTTCGCAAGCATACTTTGACAATTAAAATGATTATAGAAAAGCTGAATTTAAGTGGTAGATGATACATAAATAATTCAGGTAAGGGATTACCTGATCACATTGGTATGTTACAAATCGCATCTTCAGGGCATGAAATAAATTGAAGAAATACAAGGCTAGATGCTTGGAAACTAATTAAATATGAACAGTTTATCACGTAATAAGTGGAAGAACTGACATACAAATGCATTTATAATCAAGGTGATGTTTTGTACCTGTTACCATCCATTCAAGAGTAAGTTATTTTAAAGCAAGTAGTACTGCTTTTGTGTTTTTTGGGGGGGTATTCTTTTCAGTATAGGGCTTTAACTCAGAGCTTTATTCATGCTATGCAGGCATGCTATCATTGGGCTACTATACATATTCTAGTATCGATTTTAAACTTCATGTATTTATGTGTATATGTATGTGTGTGAGTGTATGTATGTGGTATATAGGCCTATATATGTGTGTGTGGGGGTCTTCATGTTCATGTTCCCACTGAGATCAGAGGATAGCTACTGTCCCTCTTTATCATCCTCTAACTTACTCCTTGGAGACAGGATCCTTTACTAAACCTGGAACATGGATGGTGATCAGCAAGCCCCAGTGATTGTCCTGTCTGTGCCCTCTACTGCACAGGTATACAGGTGTATGTCAGTGTATGTACATAGGCCCTGGGGTCCAAACTCAGGTCCTCATGCTTGTTTAGCAGGGACTCCTACCCACTGAGATATTTCCATATTCACCTCAAGTCCTACTTTTGATTGATTTCTTTTAACTTTAGCTTTTGACACCAAGTAAAAATTTGAATAAAACAAAAGAAATAATCAGCTATAAATAGCTATCAGAGTAATGCAGGCAAATGATGGTTTATCCATGTATCTAATGGCAGTGAAAGCACAGAGAACGAAATAAAAACTTACGTCAGTAAATTAATTTTGATTAATTAAAAATAACATTATCTGAGTATTACAAAAGGGCCTGTTAGGGGAAAAGTGACACAATTTTTACCATATATTTATAGTGGGTGATCATGATTCATGGAAAGGAGACAATGGAGTGAAATCTGAAGGGGTACTTTCTGTGTTCATTTTGAATATGAGGGATTTCTGTTGCTTGTTGGAATTTAGCCTCTCTTGGCACTATAAGCTTTAAAGTCATGTAACTCTCTTATTTAATTAAATTAAGCTCATGCTGTTTTCTATCATTTGTTTTCAATACTTTAATATTTTATCGTTTGATTCTACTACTTTCAATGTTTTAGTGTTTATTTTTGATGCCTTAGTTTTTAAATATTTAATAAGGATTCTT